TTCTGTGACTGGAGTGGTGGGAATAAGTGCATTTGGGATGGCTAGGTTGGCACAGGATAGAACGGCATTTAGAGCTCTTGTACATAGCGTCGCTATGAGTCACAGGCGACTCGATGGCACATAACAACAACAACAACATGTCTCCATACGATAGAAGCATTTTACACATCTTAATTATATCATGATTAATTTAGGTTTATTATGCCAGTAAGGTGACATAATGCTCTACTTGAAAATTGATGGTTCAAATCCCTCAGCCACTCAGTGAGAGAACGAGGAGGCAGTTTCTTCATGAAGACTTGTTATTGGGTTCATGAAATTGACTATAATTCATAGCGACCCTGTGAACAACGAATCAGAACCTTGCCCTATCTTGCCCCATCCTCTGGTCTCTGACATGCTCGAGTCCTTTGTTGTAGTCACTGCCAATCCATCTCATTGATGATCATCTCTTAAGACTTAAAGCCTCTGGAACCCAATAGAGTTGAAACGCAATATGAGTTAAAATTGGCTTGATGGATGGGAGTTGTCAGGTGATCTGGAGTTGACTATGACCCATAGAAATCCTATGAAGAACTGATCTGAACTCTGTCCTATCCTGTGCCATTCTCACAATCTCTAACACTCTCAAGCTCATTGCTGCACTCACTGTATTAATCCACATGGTTGAAGTTCTTCCTCTCCTTCACTGTCCCTCCACCTTTCTAAGGATAATATCTTTTTCCAAGGAATAATATCTCCTAACAACACGTCCAAAGTATGTGAGATGAAGCTTCATCATCCTTGCTCCAATGTGCAGCTGGCTGTTCCTTCTCTGAGTCATATTTGTTCTTTTGGCAGACCATGGGATCTTCAGCACTCTTCTCCAACGCCATGGTTCAAAGGCATCAATTCTTCTTATTTCATCCTTGTTATGCTTCTGTCATCCATTCGGTCACTTGTAATGATGGAAGTGGGATTCTCTTTTTAACTTTTCATTTCATTTCCAGAGTTAACTCCCAGTATCAGGCTCAGTCTATGATGTTCCTGGTCACATGCTCGACTCTTACCTCAACTGAAACATTCCTGAAAGTAACATGATAGCATCTACTAACTACTTTATGTTGTGTATGCAATTGGATCTCTCTTTTCCTATCAAGATTCATGTATATGTTTTACATTGCATCATTTTACAATTGTTAGTACTTGTTGGTGACTGTTTCAATGTTTATTTAGGAGTATGTCTTAGCTTTCTAACAAGACCTTTCAGTTTCAGATCTGATCTGTGCTTTCCTTTGCAATTCCTGGTTGTTCTTAATCAAATTATGTCCTCCTAACAATATGTGGAGCTCCTTTTCTTAGTGGTAAAAAACTGTGACGCCAATTCAGTTGTATGCTGTTTGAATCCACCACCTGCTCTGTGGGAGAAAGATGGAAAAATATCCCCCCATTGTCATTTACTGTTTCTGAAAACTCGCTGGAGGGTCAGCTATAAGTAGCTCCTGACTCAGTGGTACTCAACAACAACAACAACAACAACAATAATATGTGAAGAGCTCTCCTGGCAGAGGCCATAGGGAGCTGTGCTGCAAACTGTAAGGCCTTGTCTTCTGTTGATCAACTGCTCTGAGGGAGAAAGACCAGCAATCTCCTTTCTAGATTTACAGCCTAGGAAGCTCAATGAGGGCCATTTATGAGTTACTTCAGACTTAACAGTGATGAGTAGAATTAAAAAGTATGTATTGGAAACTTAACCTCTTTTTACCTGTGGATGGAGAACTGGTGATACAATCACTTGGAATATACCAGCAGGCCCCACTGGAGAAGGACTTGCTTATATGCTCCAGTAAAGACTGTTGTTGTTGTTGTTAGGTTCTATTGAATCCTCCTGGAAACTCTATAGGTTATTTTTACTCTGTAGTTTAGGATCATGATGAGTCTGAATCGTCTCAATAGAACAGAATCGCACGCCTGTGGACGAAATGTGATCACCATTCATCATGTAATCTAAAGTTAGGTAGTCATTGTCCATAGTGCAATTTACTGTAACTAACTTCTATTACATCTATCTATCTATCTATCTATCTATCTATCTATCTATCATCTATCTCTATATATCTTCCATAATACAATCGAATGTAATGCAATACATTTCTCAATTGATGCTATCCCTATGTTCTAAACCAGCCTCTTCTGAGTTATGTAAAGAGCAGGATAGACACAGACACATGCACAGGGGAACTCATAAAGGAATACAGAGAAACTCCCTACACTACTGACAAGGAAGGCCCTTCCGCCAGCACCACATCCTGAATGCAGGTGTTTAACATTTTGAATTGTGCAAAAATGAATTTCTGTTCTTTAAAACACTCTCTTTGATATTTTTTTTAAAAGCAGCATTTGGAAAGTAAGGAACTGGTACAGGTCTCTAAAGGGAGAAGAGAGAGAAATATCTTTTCATAACAATAATTATAGAAGAAAAAAAGAAGAAAGAGTTCATCAATTTGTAAATTACAGTTGGATGAATGTTTAACATTTTATTTAGAAAACTTAACAAAACTATCAGTACTAAAAAATTTATAGAATCACCAGAGGAAAACAGACAAATACTGTGTTTCACTATATTTGTATTTTAGCCTTACAGTGTTTTTTTTGTTTGTTTGTTTGTTTTGTTTTTTTTGTAGATTCATAGAAGGTAAATGAAGATAATAATGAAATACATTTAGTTATAGAAACATAATTTTTTTAAAAAGCTATTTTCTAATCTATTCATGAGAAAGTCCTCTTGGACCAGAATCTGTAATTAATATGTTGTTGTTATTATGTGCCGTTGAGTTGCCTGCAACTCATACTGGCCCTATGTACAACAGTACTAAACCCTGTTCTATCCTGTGCCAATCTCAGTCTCTGGCATACCTACCCTGACTACCCCAGTCACTGAATAAATACACCTCATAGAGGGTAGTCTTCTCCTGTGCTGTCCCAGTATAGAACATAATATAATGAAACGATTTTCTTTCTGACTTCAGGTAATTTAAAATGCTTTAAAATAAGTAGTTTTTAATTACCTTACAGTGATGTGTTTGTGGGAGAAAGATCAGCAATCCCTTCCCATGTGATTTACTGCCTCTGAAAACCCAATGGAAAGGCAGCTACAAGTTGATTCTGACTTGACAGTACATGACAACAACAACAACAACAACGTGTTTTAAGCGCAAAAATTTTTAGTTTAATGTGATACAAATTACTGAGGCTCCCAAATGTAGATCTGAAGCACTTGGGAACAAAGCTTCTTAATTTTATCTTTTGATTATTTTATTGTACATGGCTCTGGTGAGCTTGCTTAAAAGGAATTGTACTGCTAACCCCAAAGTGATTCCTCTCTGGTGGTTCAAGTCCACCAGCAGCTCCTCAGGAGACAAATGGGCAATCTCCTTCCATACAATTTAAAGGATCTGAAAACATGCTGGAAGGCCAGCTATGAGTCATTTCCCACTCAGTGGAATGAGTTTATTGTGCATGAGGTGAAAATTTACAGAGAATTAGTTTTCCATTCAATACTTCATACACACACAATGTTAGTTAAGATCTCTGCATATGTCAATACTCTCCCCATTTTCACTCCAGTTTCTTCATTTCCATTTATTTGGTTCAGAAAAACTTGCCTTCTCATCTTATACTAAATTATAATTTCAAAGAAAGCTACAAAACATTAATCTTTCCTTTGTTGCAGACTGAGAGTAAAGTCATTTTATAATTATTAATAAGAAGACAGCCAGCCAGGAATGAGATAGAACAGAGAGCAGAAAACAGTTCGACTGAAGTCCCCAACTCATGTTTCTCTGTGTATTTATTGACAATCAGGGGAAGCAAATCATAAAAGGAATTCCTTGTAAATGAAGCAGAATTTTTCTCTATTGTCAACCTAATGCTCTAGCTCAGGAAGTATTTCACAGGATGTATTTCACAGGAAGTATTTCACAGATTCCCTCTGTAGGGGGGGCCCTAGCTATCTCCTATCTGCAGGGAACAAACAGCTCATTTTCTGTGATCTGCCACAAGAGAAATCCTAACTTATAAATTTGTAATTCCTTCAATTCCTGAACAAGAGTTTTCATATATTTGGTATGAAGTTTTTCTTCCCATATTCCTTCAACCATTCATACGTATTTCCCCCTACATCTTAAACCTCAATACCACAATGAAAAATCCCCTGGAAAGGGACATCATGCTTGTAAATGTGAAGGGTCAGCTAAAGAAAGGAAGATCTTCATTGAGATGGAGTGACACAGTGCAGCAATGGGCTTAAGTATGTCGGAGACAATGAGGACGGCACAGGACAGGGCGGGCAGAGTTCAGATCTAATGCTCATAGGGTTGCTGAGTCATACTTGACTCAATAGCACTTAACAACCACCACCACCCTGTAATTCTGATTTCCATTAATCCTTCTAAACCTCTCTGTAAATTCATTCTCTTTAGGATAACTAAACTAATTTTAGCCTCATGTTCATTGCCTTCATTCATCTTAATGTGTCATCTTTGGTTTTGGACAAATATTGCCCTTTTGATCTTACATAGTTCTAAGGAACACATTCTTCATGGGTATTATTGCTTAGATTATGTTGTTGTTCTATACCATCGAGTTGGAAGTGACTCATAGCTGACCCTTCAATGGGTTTTCAGATCAGTATAATTGTGCAGGAGGAGACTGTCCATCTTTCTTCCATGGAGAAGCTGGTGGACACACACACACACACACACACACACACACACACACACACACGTAATCATTCCTAAAATGACTGCAATTACAGCGTTAATGACCTAAAGTGGAGCTTTTATAGAATGCAGGATGAGAGGGAAGTTTGCCCAATGTAATAATCAAACTTTTAATAAAAAGTACGTCATGTATGTTTGCAAACGCATATATTCTAAGATATTTTCCACAAAAGATAATGTATGTTTAACTATTATTTTTCATGAAACTCTCTTTACTTATTGATCTGATTATTCACTTACCAGTCTGGAGTGTATTTCTTTGGCATACAACGGGAACAAAAATTCCGACTCCCCTTCCAGGCGAAGTCCATCTTGATTTACACGCAAATGACCCATCCCTGTCTGTTGAGAAGATGAGACACTAGTTTCATATTGTTCTAACTTTTCAGTTATCTTAGTATCAACTTAGTTCAATTTACTATCAACTCTTAATTTCAGTTTAGTATCATACACATTTTTATTTCTCTGAAATACATTATTTGAAACTCTAGTTGCTTTTATTCAATACTTAATAAATAATGTGTTAATACAAAGGATTATTTAGAAAATAAACTAGATTTTAATATTTAAGATTAAAAAACCCCCAATATTTTCTAAGAGACATCCTAAAAACTACTGCCCAGTTGAAAAAGTAAATCTTCCAATAAATGCCACATTTGAAAAATTTTAAAATACAATGATATTGTTATCTTTTTTGGTTTTGATATTTTTTATTTAAATGAAAGTTAACCAATTATACAAATTTTTCCTTCCAAAATTCATAGAATTTTGTTTTATAACATTAAATACAATTGATTAATGCAACTTATTACAATGTCCATTAAAATTCTTTGTCTTTTCCTTCACCCAGCATACCTATTTATTAATTTTTATTTTCTTTTTCCCGTGTTGTTGCCACTGAGTTAAGAACAACTTAAAGTGACCATATGGATATCCCATGCCATCCTCACAATCTCTGAGACATACAAGCCCTTGCTGCAGCTATGGTGTCAACTCACATGGTTGAGGGTCTTCCTCTTTTGCCATCCATCCACTTTCCCAAGCATGATGTCCCTCTCCAAGGAATAACCTCTCCTAGCAACATATCCCAAGCATGTGAGATGAAGTTTAATCATCTTTGCCTTGAAGGTGTACTCTGGCTGTAAGTTCTCTAAGATATATGTATTTGGATTTTTTGGCAATCCATGGCATCTTCAGCACTTGTTTCCAACACCACAGTTCAAAGGCATCAACTTTTCTTCTGTTATCCTTAGTCACTGTTCAACTCTTAGATACATAGCAAGTGATTGAAAAGATCATAACCTGAATCAGGTGTGCCTTAATCCTCAAACTGACATCATTACTTCCCAATGATTTGGAGAAGTCCCTAACTATAGATTTTCCCAGTGACATATATCTCCTGATATCCTGACTGCTGGTACTAAGTGTATTAATCCAAGATAAAGTCATTGACACTCTCAATCATTTTTCTGTCTATCTTGATAATGCCCATGAGTCCAGTGGCAAAGATTTTTGTCTTCTTGACATTGAGATGCAAACCATATTGAAAGCGGAGGTCTTTAACCTTCTGCAGCTAGTGCTTCAAGTCCTCTTCACTTGCAGCAAACAAGGTTGTGTCATCTTTATAATGAAAGTTATTGATGAGTCTTCCTTCAATTCTGATGCCATATTTTTCTTCATAGAGTCCAGCTTCTCAAAAAATTTGTTCAGTATACTGAACATACCATAAATATCACATGCAAGCAAAATACTGCTGAATATCATTAAAAAATGGCTAGAACATACACAGATAGGGAACTGCCAGAGTTCAAGCAGGATTTAGTAGAGGTGGTGGCACCAGGTATACCATTGTTGATGTTAGACAAATTCTGGCTGAAAGTAAGGAATATCAGACGAATGTCCATCTGTGCTTTACTGACTATGCAAACGCATTTGACAGTGTGGATCATAGTAAGTTGTAACTGACATTGAGAAGAATGGATATCTCAGAGTACTTAATTGTGCTCATGTGGAACCTATACCTGGACCAGGAGGCTGTTGGACAAATAGAGCAGGGGAGCACTGCATGGTTTAAATTGAGAAGGGAGTGTGTCAGGGTTGTATTCTCTCTCCATACCTATTCAATCTGTATGCGAAGCAAATTATCTGAGAATCCAGACTCTATGAAGAGGAGTGTGACATCAGGATTGGAGGGAGGGTCATCAATAACCTGCGTTAAGTAGATGACACAACCTTGCTTGCTGAAAGTGAGGAGGACTTGAAGCACTTGTAGAAGATCAAGGAACACAGCCTTCGCTATGAATTGCATCTCAACGTCAAGAAAACAAAGATTCTTACCCCTGGACTGATAGGCAGAGTCATAATGGATGGAGAGAGGACTGAAACTGTCAACAGGTTGATCTTGCTTGGAACCACAATTAACACCCAGGTACCAACAGTTAGGAAATAAGGAGACACATTGCACTGGAAAAATCTGCAGTTAGGGACGTCTCCAAATTATTGAGGAGTAGTAATGTCAGTTTGAGGACTAAGGTGTGTCTAATTCAGGCCATTGTCTTTTCATAGTCTTTGCTATGCATCTGAGAGTTGGACAATGAATAGGGATTACAGAAAAGAATTGACACTTTTGAGCTGTGGTGTTGGAGTACAGCAATGAACATCCCGTGAATGGCCAAGAGAATAAACCGGTATGTCTTGGAGAAGGTGCAACTGGAGTACTCTTTGGAAACAAGAATGATAAGGCTTTGCCTCACATACTCTGGGTATGTTGGTAGGAAAGGCAGAGGGTCAGTACAAGGAGGGAAGATCCTCAAGGAGACAGACTTACACAGTGACTGCAGCAATAAGCTCAAGAGTGTCAAAGACGATGAGGATGACTCAGTATAGGACAGAGTTCAGATCTGTTGTTCACAGGGTCACAATGAGTTATACTCTACTCGACAGCACCTAAGAGTAACAACAACAACAGCAACAGCAACATCTTCTCTCATTCTCCAAGTATTTATTCTGATTTGAAACAGATGTTAAAAAACAGCTACACAGTGTGTCTTTATTTTCCCAGTTCTTGGATTGCCGACCTTTTGGTTAGCAGCCCAATGTGTTACATGCTGCTCTACCGGGTTCCTTAATATGCTAGGTGCTTGGGGGGAAAAATACAGGCAAAGGTCCTTTACTAACCTGTGATGTGGGACTAATAGAAAAATTGGGAAGTAAAAGAGATTCTTCAAAAGGATGGCAGTTGGAGAGAAAGGAAGAGAATCAGAGTGCAAAAAAGACTCTAAAATTGTTATATGGTTTTCTCATGTCTCATTGCCTAGTGGCAAGAAGCTATGTTGCAACCCTGAAGTCATGAGGTTCAAATGGCTAGGATTGTGACTGCTACCCCAAAGGTCAGCAGTTTGACATTAGTGTCTTAGTGTTTAGAAGCTGTGCTGAAGTCCCAAAAGCATGCAGTTCAAATCCATCAGCTGCTCCATGGGAGAAGGATGGGCATTAGCCTCTCATGTGATTAATTGCCTCTGAAAACCCATTGGAGAGTGAGCTATGAGTTGGTTCTGTCTTAACAGCAAACAACAACAACAACAGTCTGCTTCAATAAAGATTATAATCGTGGAAACCCCATGGGTCAGTTCTAGTCTGTCAAATCCACTGTGCTATTACGTAAAATCCACTGCATGTCAATGGATATGTTCAGTTAAGAGCACAGACATCCCAAATGAAAAAAAAAAAATTCAGGAAAAAAACAGGCACAGCATGTGGGTAAAGATGAAATGCCACTTTTTATTGTCAAACTGTGTTTGAAATTAGTAATCCATTTGCCAGAATATTATGGACCAAAGGACTCACAAGATCATAATGCTAAGAACTCTTGGAAAATTCAAAACAGTAAGGGACAGTTCAGCTCTTTAAATATTATTGTTAGGTCCCAGAACACTATTAAAAGAGTTCTAGTGATGCAACGATTAAACATTTAGTTGTTATCCAAAATGCTGATAGCATGAACCAATTGGATCAGTACCATCACTTTTCTCAAGCATCTCATGGGGAGTTCTGGTGGCATAGTCCATAGTGTGATGTGTTGATAACACAAAGACTGCTCAACACTGGCAGTTCAAATTCATCAGCAGAGCCTTGGGAGAAAGATGGACAGTCCCCTCCTGTTGAGATTTACTACCTTGAAAGCTCAATGGAGGGTGGCTATGAGTCAAAACAGATTGAAGGACAGTGAGGGAGGGAGTGATTTTACAGGGAAAAGAACTGACGATTGGATTCTGTAAATATTACAGTGAAGAAAGCCTCAAGGAAGAGCTCTCTTCTGTTGCATGGTGTTGGTATGAGTCAGAACTGAGTCGCTTATATCTAATAACAACAAAGCAGTGGCCAAAGAAATAACATGAGCTTCCCCCCACTTCTGCTTCAGGGAGAGGCCTGTTTCGTACTTTGAGATATATCTTTCCTAATAAACTTTTCTTTTCTCTCACCTCAGGAAAAAATAAAAAAGGAAAACCAAAACAATAAAAAGAGCAATAACAAGCAGGCAGAAAAACAGTTTTGCTTTGAAGTAGATTCTACTCATAAAATCCTCTTGCAGCTCATAGTGACCCTAGAGGACAGAGTGGAATTCCCCACCGTTTCCAAAGCTGTGAATCTTTATGGATGCAGACAATCTCATCTCACGCAGGTAAAGCAATTGGTAGGTTTGATCTGTTGATGTTTAAGTTAGTAGTCTAATGCTTAACTTATTGTTAAGCCATCAAGTCTTTTCTACTCTCAAAAGCTTGTCATTTGATAAAGAACACATAATAACTTTTGGATAGGCATAAGTTTATTCAATAAATGGTGTTCATAAAACTCTTTGAGGAGAAAAGTCAAGCTATTACCTCTTTCCGTTCATAACATATTCTGAATGGTCGTTCATTCGTTATTTGGAAAAGTGTGTGTTACTTGCCTTGCAGGGGTTTTATTAGTTACTATGACTTGCTCCTGATGCATGGTGACTTCCTATATTAACAGAATGAAATGCCATTCATTCCTGCACCACCTTTACAATTTTCTTCTGCTCGAGCCTGTTATTGAAGGCATGGTATACTTTGGGCATGTTCTAACCCAGAGATGCACCTGTCAGCAGCCAGCGTTCTCTTGGGATTCATGAGATATTAATTGTCTGATTTTCACGATCACCAGGCCTTTCTTTCTAGTCTGTCAGTTTGGAAATGACGATGAAAACTGTCCGCCATGGATGACCCTTTGGGCATTCGAAACACCATGTCCATAGCTTCCAGCATTACATTGGAAAAATGCCAGTCATCACTGTACAACATGCTTACAGGTGAACCTTAAAG